GTCTGTCACGCCTACCTCCACGTGGACACCCCTCACAGCCCTTCACTTCAGGCGGAGTGACCATCAGCTGAGCTTCCCGATCCTCTCCTTGGGTTCCACCCATCTGCCTGAGTGACTCCCGGGAGCCAGGGCAAGGCCACTTATATTTGCCACGTGCATCCTAAGGACTTCTCCTACCACAGAAAAGTCATCGCAGCCTCTGTCAGAGTGGGGCAGCGGCTTCAATCTGCCTCTGAGGCAGGCACGCTGCCCCTCTCCGGGAAATCAGCTCGGTTCCGAAGATCCTGTCCTCCTGGCCCTGGACTCCAGGCTCTGATTCTGAGTTTCTTGTCTTTTTCACCCTGGCCATGCACTCACCTCCTTGTTTTGGTTTTTTGAGACAGGGTCTCACTATGTAGTTGAGACTGACCTAGAACTCACTATGTAGCCCAGGCAGGGCTTGAACTCACAGCATCCTCCTACCTCAGCCTCCCAAGTGCTGGGATTACGGGTGTGCACCACCACTCCCGGCTACCTCCTGGTGTACCAGGAAGTGCTGGAGGCCCCAGAGGGGCAGGGAGGGCTCAGTTCCGGCTGGAAGTGCAGAGCCCAAGCCAAGCTGTGTGCCAGAGACTGCGGGAAGCTCTTTCTTCTGGACACAAAGCAGGTCACTGCTCCTCTGCGCCGCTGTCCCTGCAGAGCTGAGTAAACACAGAGGCAGGACCTAAGGAGGACTAGAGGTTTAGATGGCAGGAACACTCGACAAACTGCAAGTCAGGGCGTACCAGGGTCAGCTTGGAAAGTTCCATCAATTTTCTAGTCACACGCGGACATATTTCAGAAGATGCCTGATGTTCTACATAAATGAAAAACAGCATTTTCTTTCTTTTTTCTTTTTCCCTTCAATTCCTTTGCATTTACTTAAACATGTTCTATGAGCTAGCATGTGGTCTATTTTGGAGAATGACCCATGTGCAGCCGAAAAGAATGCATACTCTGATTTTTGTGGGGTGGAACACTCTGTAGACATCCACTAAGTCCATTTGTTCTAAGACTTGGTTCAGTTCTGTTATTTCATTGTTGATTTTTTGGTCTAGATGATCTGTCTACTTGTGTCAGTGGAGTATTGAGGTCCCCCACTACAATTGTATTAGTGCTTATTTTATTTTTCATATCCATTAATATTTGTTTTGTATGTTGGGGCATTACTATTTGGTGCATATATATTAATGACTGTCATCTCTTCTGCTTGGATTGTTCCCTTTACAAGGATGAAGTGGCCTTCTTTGTCTCTCTTGATTAGTTTTGGTTTGAAATCTACTCTGTCTGCAAGTAATATAGCTACCCTGGCTTTTTTCTGGGCTCCTGTCGCATGGAGAACAGTTTTCCACCCTTTTACTCTCAGTCTATGAAATTCTTTGTGGGTTAAGTGGGTTTCTTATATACAGAACATTGTTGGATTTTGCTTCTTAATCCATTCTGCCAGCCTGTTTCTTTTGATTGGTAAATTGAGGCCATTAACGTTGATGGTTATAACTGTTATGTATTAACTTTTCATTGTTATTTTCCTCTTGTTGGTTCTTTTGTTTTTTATTTTTCCCTTTCTCCCTTTAATTTCTTGCCTAGCCTGGTATATTTGCTCTGCTGGACCTTACAGAGTTGTAGTCTTCATTTTCTTTTTCCAGGATATTGTTTAGAAGTGTTTGGAGGGCCAGTTTGGTGTACATGAAATTTCTCAGGTGTTCTTTGTCATGGAAGTATCGTATTTCCCCATCAATTGTGAAAGATAGTTTTGCAGGATACATCAGTCTAGGTTGGAGGTTTTCTTTCGGACTTGAAATACCTCACTCCAGGCTCTCCTTGAGCTGAGGGTTTGTGATTTAAAGTCTCCTGTGATTCTGATGGGCTTTCCTTTCCATGTGACTTGCAGTATTTTGTTCTTCTGTTGGGTTTCCAGGATCTTGACTATTATATGACTGGGTGTGTAGTTTGGGTTTTTTGTTTTGTTTTGTTTGTTTGTTTGTTTGTTTTAAGCATGGCTAGTTGGAGTCCTATATGCCTCACTTATCTGTATGTCAAATTCTTTGCCTCTGTTTGAGAAGTTTTCTGTCATTAATTCTGTGAACAGTTTTATTTTTTAATGTCATTTGACATTCTCCTGCTACTTCATGGATTCCTATCAGTCTTATATTATTCTTCTTTGCCTCATCTAAGAGTTGTTGGACTGATTTCTCATGATCCCTTACTGTTTTTAAGAGATCTCTCTTTTCATGGTCACTGACTGCAATCCTATCTTCTGTATCTGAAATTCTATCTTCATATTCATATATCCTGCTGCGAATGCTTTCGATAGTTTTAATTTCCTGGATATCTGTTTGAATCTGTTTCATGGTTTGCATTTCTTTCCTATTCTGGGCATTCATGGTTTCCATCATGGTCCTGAGCTCATCTATTTTTAAAAATCTGTTTCTGTTCTAGAGTCTCTAATCATGTCTTTCATTTTTCTCACCATCTCTGTGGTTATCTGGGAAATTATTTCTGTTTTGAATTTTTCTAGAGCCTCATTCATCTGTTTTGTTACTTCCTGCACCATCAGTTCAGGGTGTCCAGGTGGTTGAGTCAGACTTTTCCACCTCGTTTCCCCCAGAGTTTATCTTTGGTGATGTGGAAGTCTGTGTTTGTGCCTTGTTTAAATGTTTTCTTGTTTCTATCTTTGTTGTTGTTCATGTCCTTGTTTTTATTCCTGGGTTAATAGTGCAATCTTCCAGATACAGCTGGACGTTAGGTTTTGAGTTTCTGATGACTCTGAGGCAATCTCATTTTCATTGTACCAGGGAGGACAAATGATTAGATCAATCACAGCAGTTTAACCCAAGTGATACAGTCAGCAACACAATAGCATCAAGTACAGCTTAGAAATTAACAATTTGTGGTAGTTATGAATCCATCACTTCAATCAAAATTGAGGACCAGCCCAAAATACGTTTATAGTGAAAAAACTCTTCAGTATAGCAACTTTACCCTTCAGGATGGGGATTTAGAAGGAGTTGGGGAGCCAGGGATAGGTAGGATAGAGAAAGGTTAGAAACGAGGTCAGAGGACACAGGAAGATCACACAAACTCTAGGGAGCTGTTGAAGAAAAGAGGGGAAGAGAGAACAAAATATACCCAAGAACAGAACAACTAACAGCAACAGGGAGGCAGCTTTCTTTTAAAGCTAATGGCAACTGAGAGAAGGAAAAAGACAAGAAAATGAAAGAAAATAAATTCAAATTAGGATAGGAACAGGAACAAAAAGGGAGAGTAATGGAGATCAAGGTGGGAGAGAGTGTGAGAGAAAGAAAAGAAGATACAAAAAGGAAGATTTTTAAAAAGGAAAAAATTAAGAAAAAGATTTAAAAAATGATTGAATATGAGAAAAATACTACTTTGAAAATAAAAAATACAAATAGAAATAGAGGGCCTCCTTCAGGTTATGCCTCTGTTGACACAACAGACAGTGTGGGCAGGAGTGTGCAGTCTAAGCTAATTAGTCTCAGCAAGCCAGCAGCTGTCCCGAGGTTCAGGCTGATTTCTGGCTGCAAGGCCAAGTTGAGATCTCTGACCTCCTGCTGGGTTGAACTCTGCAAGGCTCGACCACAGGTTCCCAATACCCTTGCCACGAAGTTAGACCAGGTTCCCATGTGAGGTGCTGGTCCCTCCGACTTACCAACAATGGTGGTGTGTTGTGCCTTTATCACAGATTTTCTTCACTTTTCCAGTGGGCTTTGATTTTCATACGGAGCCTCAGAGAGGTCTTCCTTTTCTTGTTTGTAGGGAATGAGGTGGTGAGACACGAACACCTCTGTGTTGGCCCCTGCGCAGCTGGGCTCCTCTGGTGCTCTGGGCTGAAGGGTCTTCCTGCCAGACGTTTAGGAAGCAGTGCCTCTGGTGTGTGTGCTGGGTTGAAGAGTACGGCATTTTCAAATAAAGACTAGCTCAGTTATTTTCAGCCTGAGGAAGATTTAATGACCTGGGTCGTGTTTGACTGTGGCTCAGTGGAAAAACCAGAGCCTAGCGTGCAAGAAGCCATAGATTCCAACACAGCACCAAAAAAACTGAAATTACAGAAGCATACAAGCCTCCACCTTGACCCTGAAGGCCTCAGAAAGAGCCTCAAATCCCTCAGACTCTGAAACCAAGTCGCTGCCTACTGTCCAGCGTTCCTGTGAGGGAGAAGCATTTCCCATCCTGTATGACCACTGACTTTTGTTTCGGTTACAGGTAGCTGAATTCAATCCAGATCAAACCCCAGAGACATTCTCAAATGAAGCCCAGGAGAAACAACTCTACCCAAACGGAAACACAGTCACTGTTCTTCCTGAGACAGCACGGTCAGGAGAAAAACCAATAGCCAACAGCCCTGAAGGCTTAATGGGGATGCTCAAAGGTGGGCCAGTGTCACAAGTTCTCAGTCATTAAGCTGCCCAGGCTGGGCTCAAACACGATTCTCCCGCCTTGGCCTCCCAGAGTGCTGGGCTCACCTTCAGTCTTGGTTCTGCACACCTTAGTTCTTCAGGGTTTTGTGGCAAACACAAACAGGTAAGCTGTGGGGAGGCCTGCATGCCGCCTGCCCCAGCAGCCATCCTTGGCCTAGGGTTGGGATTCTTCTCTGAACAGGGAGGGTGTGAAAGTTTCTGGGCTTTGGCCCAGCTCTGAAACACTAGCCCATCTCCTAGCCTCCTTGGAGGCATCTGCCTTTGAACATGGGGTAGGAGCCAGGAACAAACCTGTCACCCCACTCCAGATGCATCAGGGTGCTGTCAGCCACTACGAACCACGCGTGGACCTGGTTCTGTGGTCTCCACACTTCTTTCCACAGAGCTCAGTGCTCACTGCCAACTTCCCCAACCTTTGGTCTTCAGCCGAAGTCTGGCTCGTCTTGCAGGAGGCCCACACCCACGAGAGTTAGAAAGCAAACCCAACCCGGCCCAAGAAGAGGAGACACCGTCCATTCAGGACATGCAGGTCCATGGCCACTAGAGAAAAATCAGCAGGTGGAGGAGGAAATACACTTTTTATTTACAGTTCGTTCACATCATCCACAATTCCCCATACAAACATAGAAACTAAAAAAATAAAATGCCACTTGGGAGCACAAGTGTCTGTCTCTGGGGACTGGCGGGAGGCCCGGCTGCGCTCTGTGGAGGGGAAGGCGCAGGGGATGGGAGCCCTGGCGCACACGGGCGGGGCTCAGGGTGTCGCCCATGGGGCACCGCTGGGCTCCCTAGAGGGTGACAATGCGAGCCTCCACCCCCCCACTTCGCCACCAAACACCAAAACTCGGACGGGGTCGCGGTGTGAGCTGCGTGGAGTGTGACAGGGACAGCAGAGGGCACTTAATGCCACTGTCTGAGGAGCCGCAGGCCGCAGGACACAGGGGAGCCCTTCCCTTGGCACTGACGAATTGGCCACAGCTTTGGGGAGAGGCGGGGGCTCTGCCACGAGGGGACGGTGGGGTGTGCGGGGCCGAGGCCGGCCCTGGGACCCTGACCTGGGGCCTGCTCAGCCGTCCTCCCTCCAGGGGACTCAGGCCGGGAGGGCGCCCAGAAATCGCCCCAGCAGCTGCGTGTTTGCCGGGGACCTAGGCTGCGTTCACACGCGGATGCACGTTATAAATATAAACTCATATCTGCTACAAAGAGGACGGATATTTGTACAACTTTACCCATATACATAGTAACACAATTTACACATAACATCCTGGAGTGGGTCCTGGTGGAAAAAGGGTTGCAGAGGTGAAAAGTCCCTTCTCCCTCCCTCCCCGACCGTTTCACGGGACCCTTGCGCTCGGGTCCCACGGGGGCCGGGCCCGGCTGGCAGAGACCGCGCATGCGCACGGGGACCTGTGGAGAACGCGAGGGAACCCGCAGCCCTTGGGCGCAGGCCCCTTCCCAGAGCTGGGAGCTCCTGCGCAGCCGGTCAGCGGGACGGCCCGGGCCTTCGGAGAACAGGACGCATACCGACCTGGGCTCAGACAGAACACTAACGCTCCCACGCCTGGGGCATGTAAGAAATGTAGGTTTTTCTTATTTAAAAAAGAAAAAAAAAATGCGACAGTATCAGTGGAGGCCTGGAGGTAAGAGGGACCCTAGGCGCCATCCGGTTTCCTGTCGACCCTGTGCCACCTTTCTGTCCTCTCCCAGGCCTGGCCGGGCACGCGGCGTGGAATACTGGCGGTGGCCGAGACACAGCCGTGGACACGGCGGTGGACGGCGACGAGGAGACCCGCTCGCGGCGGGCTGAGCGGTTCCCGCGGAGTCCTCGGCTCAGGGCCACAGTGCAGCGGAGCCGGCGGCCGGCGGGGAGGCAGCACCTACCGGCGGTAGTGATTGGGGGCGTCCGCAAACATGTACTTGAGTCTGTACGCCTCCGCCAGCAGCAGCCCGATCTCCTCGTTGCCCCAGTGGATCGTGGGCAGGTTCTGCAGCAGCATCAGGAGCCCCTGGAACGCGAGAGAGGGCGGGTGCGGCTCCCAGGCTGCAGGCAGCGCCCGGCCCCACGGCCCCTGCCCCCTCCCCACAGGGAGCTCCGGAAGCTCTGCCATTCTGCACTAGCTCCCGTCTCCAACAATGGTATGGACAATGACAGATCTGCAGGAGAGGGCAGCGGTCACCATGCAGCTACACCTCTCTCAATCTCTGTCTTCCGTGAGGCAGGGTCACACCACAGAGCCCAGGCTGTGCTGGGACCCACCACCCTCCTGAGAGTGGGGATTACAGCACCGAGCCTTCTCACTCTTACGCATGCTTTTCAATCTTTTCCCGTGTGTTGAAGTAACTGCAGCCGTGATTATAATTTGACATGCATTTTACTCGCTTTGCGACACCATCGTTTTCGTGTTTACCCCAGTCTTCCAACTTACTCCAGAAGCCCAGTCCGTAGGTGGCTCTAACCGTCGGCCTTTGGTTCTACACCAGGCCTGGACTGCTTCTTCCTCAGCCTTTACTGAAGGGGCCGCAGTGTGCGGCCTGCGACACCTTCTCCTGCTCTTGTCATTCGCCTGCTGTAGCTGTGTCTGCCCTCGGCCCCCGTCCCCAACCCACCCGGGCCACGCTTAACTGCATGCACCTCTGGGCATGAACCTACACTGAACACTTTCCTCTCCACCTCACTAAATCCTATTTAGCTTTCAAAGTCTAGGTCCGTCAAAAACACCCTGGAGCCGGGTGTGGTGGTGCACACCTCTCATCCCAGCACTCAGGAGGCTGAGGCCGGAGGGGCTGCATGAATTTGAGGCTGGCCTGGGCTACATAGTGAGTTCAAGTCCAGCCTGAACTGCACTGCCGGACCTTGTCTCAACAAAAATGGGGCTCAGTGGTTCTGCTGCCTGCCTTGCCAATGTAGGGTCCAGACTTTGAGCCCCAGTACCAAAACAAACCAAAACAAACAAACGAAAAACAGAACAAAAATAAATGTGACATAATAATGAATAAAAATGAATGGGCTTGGTGGTGAGTTCGAGACCAGCCTGGGCTACATAGTGAGTGGTCAGTCTCAACTACACAATAAGACCCAGTCTCAGAAAAAAAGAATGAAAGTTCAGGTTCTCCCTGGAGCTTAGTTTCCCCTGCTGATGCTGCTGCCTATGTTGCCTTCTCTCTGTCTTTCAAAGTGAGCATTCTTATAACAGTAACAACTGTAAGACCCAAACCCCAGAAGCCGTGAAGAAACGGAAGGTTTGGATTATGCATAATTTTGTACATTGGGAATCACCATCAACAAAGTTAAAATATAAGAAACTGACTACGAGGAAGTACTTAGCCACCCGTGAAAAATCGAAGGTGAGAGACCATCCCCAAGGCACTGAGGAAAGCAGCCGGGCCGCCTGGGCAGACAGGACCGGGCGGGCACTCGCACCGCCCTGGAGCCCTGCTTCTGGCTGCTCTGCAGTTTTCAGGGCAGCCTTGTGCATCCTGCGAGGTTCCGCTGGGTGCGCAGCTGCCCTCCTGTCACTGCTGTCTGTGGCCAGGCAGTCACGTCCTGTTGAGTCTGGGCCATGGCAGAAAGGACGCATGGGACTTCTAAGCCTCTCCCGCATCCTCCCTAGAAGATGGCCCTGGCCTGAGTTGTGCTCCCTCGCAGGGCCAAAGCCAGGAGAAGAGGCCGAGCAGTAGGAGAGACACGAGTCCCCGTCACCTCGGTCCTGGCCGCTCCACTCATTCCCTCAGTGCTGGGGAAGCAGACAGCGATTTTATTTTACACCATTATCACTTTGGGGCCTTGGTCACTGCAGATAATTTCAGATTCTCTTAACAAATGCACCCTGTATCTATCAAAATTAGAAATGCACGGGGCCGGGGATTTAGCTCAGTGGTTCTGCTGCCTGCCTCACAAGTGCAAGGAACCGAGTTCGATCCAAAGAACAAAAAAAAATTTAGAAATGCACGGCTGGACTCTGGCAGGGTGCTGGCTTCGCATGCACAAGGCCAGGGACTTGATCCCCAGCTCAGCAGAAGGTAAAGGAGAGGGGAAGAAACGCACATGGTCCTCAGGCCAGCCGCACTGCTCCTTGCCCCTAGGCTGAGGAACACACATGCCCCGCTCCTGTCCACCTGTGCCCCACATGGGGAGGGGAGGCCCCTGGGGATGGAGCTGCCAGGGCAGGGCCCTGCCCTGAGACAGACGGGGCAGGACCTCCAGGCAGGTCTGAATGAACCTACCTCAGGTCCTTGCGCTTATATGAGAACCACTGAGCTAAATCCCTGGCCCTCAAAGATGTGTTAAAATGGATAAAAGAGAAGGTTGCACTAGCCGGGCATGGGGGCGCACACCTGTAATCCCAGCACTCGGGAGGCTGAGGCAGGAGGATCGCTGTGAGTTCGAGACCAGCCTGGGCTACATAGTGAGTTCTGGGTCAGTCTCAACTACACGGTGAGACCCTGTCTCAAAAAACAAACAAAAAAACCGAAAAACAAAAAACAAAAAAAAAAAAGAGAAGGTTGCAGAGAAAATATTTATAGTGTGATCTTAGATAAAAGAAAATGCACATAACTATACATGCATATGTATGTAATTCAGAACAACAGAGTGAGAAGCTGTTAACAGTGGTTAAATCACGTCTCTCTCTCTTTTGGTACTGGAGATTGAACTCAGGGCAGGGCAGGCGCGGTGCCAATGAGCTAAATCCCTGGCCCTCTTTATCTTTTTTTTGTTTGGTTCTTTGAGACAGAGTCTCACTGTGTAGTTGAAACTGAACTGGAACTCACTATATAGCCCAGGCTGGTCTTGAACTCACAGTGATCCTCCTGCCTCAGCCTCCTGAGTGCTGGGATTACAGGCATGGGCCACCGTGCCCAGCCCTCTTTATCTTTTGAAGTCTTCACTCTACTGAACTAAAGTGTGATAGAGTAGTTTTTTTTTAGTAACACATACTCTGTAAGTTTTGTGTAATAAAAATTAGAGCAGGGCCAGGGATTTAGCTCAGTGGTTCCACCGCCTGCCTACAAAGTGCAAGGTCCAGAGTTCGATCCCTGGTACCAAAAAAAAAAAAAAAACAAAAAACAAAAAACAAAAAAATAGAGCAGAAAATTATTCACAGTATCACGATCAACAGGAAGCCATGTTTTTTCCTTCCAGGTCTTTCCTGCATCTGTTACACAGTTAATACAAAAAAAATTTTTTTTGGTACCAGTGATCAAACTCTGGTCCTTGCACTTGTGAGGCAGGCGGTGGAACCACTGAGCCAAATCCCCAGCCCCAGTTAATGTAAAATTTATCTAGCATTTATCATAAGCACATTTTTTAATATTATAAGCTCCTGCAGACATTGCCAATGGCCAAAGACTTTTCTGTGATATAAGGTGTACAATTTATATTCTCTTGTTTTGAGCATTTTATTACTTCTGATTTTTTAGTATAATAAAATTATAGGGCCTAGGATTTAGCTCAGCGGTTCAGTGGCCTGCCTTGCAAGCGCAAGGACCCGAGTTCAATCCCCAGTACCAAAAAAAAAAAAAAAAAACCCCGAAACATCTTTGTTTTTGTTTTGTCTTTTTTGGTACCGGAGCCAGACCCTGGTCCTTGCACTTGTGAGGCAGGCACCAGAACCACTGAGCTAAATCCCCAGCAATAAGGAACATCTCTGTGAATAAAGTCATACCTCCGATTACTTCTGATTACTGGGCTAAATTCCTAAAAAGGGAGTGGCATCATTATGCCCTGCAAACGTGTACTAATAGAAATAAAAAAAAATAGTTCCTAAAAATGAAATTTTTACATCCTAACGGTACTTAACGTTCATCCAGGAAATATATTCCACATCCTAGGTTCGCACCGGACTCATGGGATCAGACAAACCCCGTGGGCAGCCTTCGCTCCCTCCACGCCCATGGAAAGGGCGGCGCCCGCCGGGGCCAAGTCAGTGGGGGAGGAGTTCGCGTCCCGCACCGGGCTCCGCCTCCTCGGTTGTTTCCCGGCTTCCATCGCGGGTCTGCCTCGAAGCCTTCCAACCACTTACATGAGAAACCCAAAGTATAAACAATTAAAGGGCAAAACAGACAAGAAATAATAGGGACCACAGTTTGCCAATGGGAAGGGGACCGAAAGATGGAGGGGCAGAGGGGAAGGGAACCTAAAAAGAATTCAGATGGGTTCGGTAGACGTGTTGACTCCGCGATCAGTGTGATCACTACCAACTACAAACGTGTTAATCAAAATCAAGATTAAAAAAAAAAAAGACAACCAGGCTTCAAACCAGTGCTACCAAAAGAAGAGTAAATAAAAGAGGGCGAGAGCATGTGAGAGACAATACATCTTGTTTTTTGTTTGGTTGGATTTTTTTCGGGAGGGTGGTACCAGGAATCGAACTTGGGACCTTGCGCTTGCCAGGCAGGTGAGGCACCACTGAGTTACATCCCTGGCCCCAGGGTGGTTTTTTTGAGATGGGTTTTGCTACAGTATTTTTATGGTCTGGGTCTCAACGTCCCCCCAAAGCCTCACGAGGGCAGGTGATGCGGGATTATGGGCCAGTGACTATTACACCAGTCCACTGGTTGGCTTGGCACTGCCCCAATCCCGGGAGTCTGCATAAGATGCTATTAAGGTCCCTTGTGGCTTCTGCTACCATGCAAGCACCATGAGCCATTTTTCCTCTGCCACGTCCTCTGCCATGTGCCACTCTGCCTTGGAGCCAGCTATGGACCTACATCTCTAAAAACTGAGCTAAATAACTGTTTCCCCTTTAACTTCAGGTGTCAGGTACTTTGTCTCAGCAATGAGAGAAAAGTAACTAACACAGGTATGTAGCCCAGGCTGGCCTCAAATTTGAGATCCTCCCGCCTCAGCCTCCTAAGTGCTGGAATTACAGGAACGAAACACCATGCCCGACTGAGAACCATTACTTCTATCTCAATATAATTTTAAACACAGTTTTGTTGGTGAAGTTCTTTTTTTTGTTTTTGAGCAGCGTCTCTCTACATTGCCCAGGCTGGTCTTGAATTCCAGGGCTCAGGTGATCCTCCTGTCTCAGCTTCCAGGTAGCTAGGACGGCAGGGACCCCACTGCACCTGCCTCGGAACACGGTACACCCCGTGAGCCCCTGCCTGTGCCCCTCGGCCTGCCCTCTCCTGCTTCTCCCCTCAAACTTCCTCCTTGGCGGACTCTGCTTTTCTGTGACCGGGGAGCCTTGAGGGCAGAGGTCTCGACCTTCTCTGTACCTCACACCACTGTCTAGAGGAGTCTAGAGAGCCACTCTCAGAAAAATGGTTTGAAAAATATAAATACATAGTATATTGATAAAAAAAAATTTGTTTTTGTACCGGGGATGTAACTCATGACACCTGTGCTTGTGAGGCAGGCGGCGGCACCACTGAGCTAAACGCCTGGCCCCGTGACCAAAATGTTTTGAAGACAAATGGTTAATATTTACCTCTTCATGACAATATTTCAGATATCCAGGGTTCTTCAGTTGAAATTTTCTCATTTTTCTATGATGGTTACATGCATTTGTATAATTGATAAAAACAACCAACGACGGGCTGTGCTCTCTGGGACAGGATATGCTTTGCTGGGATGGAAGCCACCGTAACTCGCCTCCTCTACCCTTACTAGAAGCTTCCAAGAAACTCCCAAATAATGCCGCGGCGGAACAAGCGAATCTCCCGCTCCAGGCCCAGCCGTGGAACTGAGCCGTAAGGAGCCACTCTGCCACCTAGCGGCGACGGTGGGGATCTGCGACGCCACACCGCCGGCGCGGCCCATCGCAAGGCTCAAAAAGCCGGAGCTGGGGCAGTAGCGGGAGCCGGCCTGCTGAGAACCCAGAAATCCGAAGGAAAAGGCCGCATGAGGAGTCTGGGGCCGGGGAGGACTGGAAGCTCCCACCCAGGCAGGAGGCCAGAGGAGGCGGAGCGGTGCTGGCACAGAGGCTCCGCCAAGGGCGGACGCAGGGAGACCAGGGGGAGGCCGAACGGAAGAGGGGAGGAGGGACCTGCTACACCTCAGGGGCTCTGCCTTCTGTCCTCGGTCACAACTGGCTTCACCCTCGGTCAACTCTGGGAGACGCCCTTGCCCGAGGCCGTGGAGAAGCCGAGGCTGGGATCGGAGCCCAGCCGGGGCCAGCGTGGCTCAAGAGGACTGTGGACAGGAACCAGACGAAAGGGAGTCAGAGCAGAGGACTCTTAGTGCCTGCAGCAAATCTTAGTGTCGATTAACTCGCCTCCGCAGTACGGCCGGCACCAGTTAGGACTTCCGGGGGGACCGGGCATGCTGTGAATTCGGATTCTGTGTGCGGTCCGCCCGACCGCCGCCTTCCACAGATGTGCGGAGCACTGTCCTGCTCAGGCGGCGGCTGCTGTCTCCCCGGCCACCGCAACTTCTCAGAACCGCGTCCCTGCCTGCAAACTTTCTGAGTCTGACCCGAGGCCCCTAGTGCACCTGCCGAGGCTCCCCCTCGGCTGCTCGCTTTTTGTTCGTGTCCAGGACTCGGGGCCTCTCTCACGCCAGCCAGCTCTGGGCAGAAGAGCTGCCGTTCCCAGGGTTTCCTCTGACCCTGTTCACCGCAGGATTCAAACTGGCGGCTCACAGACCGCGGAAGCCGTGTGCAGGGCCACTGCGCGAGGCGTCCATTTCCGGTGCGCCGGTCCCCGTGAAAGACCCCTGCGGCGTGGCAACCGCTCCAAGCCCCTCCCCCAGGCCAGCAGACGCTGGTGTGGTCAGCAGCTGCACCCCGACTTCCTGCCCACCCTCTATGTGTGGAGGACCTCTGGGGACTGGGCCACAGGCCCCCCCACATGAGAATCGCTTGGAGCCTGGAGGCCCGGGCACCGCCCCGCGTGCCTGTGGATCCCATCCCAAGCTGACTGCAGAGCGACCGGCACTTGCTGGGGCCCCCGAGCTCTGTGCTGCGCTCACCCTGGAGGTGGGAGGTTGGACTCCAGCGGGTCCCAGCTCGGGGGACACTTCCCCTCAGTG